ACCAGCACTCAGTGTAAAGGCTCTTGTTTATCCCCACGGTCCCAGTCCTCTTCTTCTCCACTTCCCTACCTGTGCTGACCTTGCTCTTCACATTCCTCACTCGATCTAAGGTCTCCAGCTCTTTGCACTTGCATTTCCTATTGTTCACACATTCTTCTGTTTCCTTTCCCTTCTTCCCATCTTTCAGAATCTAATTGCCACGTCTAGGGAAACCTCATGAGATCACTACACATACGATTCAGGAGCTCTGTGGTTAGAATATTTATAATAATGCAATCTCTGTTCCCTCTACATGTCTTTCCCATTTCACTGCAAATCTCAGGAGGTTAGCATCTGGGTCTTGTCTAACTTTGCATTCCTGGCACATAGGAGGTATTCAATAAATCCTGAGTAAAATCCAGAATGGATGCCCCACACTGCCTCCTTCACCAGCCCAACCATAGTGTCTTACAATGAGGATCACATATTCATTTTACTTTATGAACAAAAGACTTCCAGATGAATAACAAAACAAAGACTCTGAAGTATCTACATTTAAAGGATTATACCCTAGGTGCAGTAATTTTACTTCTAGGAATCATTCTAAGTAAATTAGCAGAGGCAAGCAAGTGTTATTCACCAAGGTACTCAGCGCCAAGTAATTTATAGCCATATAAACACTGGGAAAAAAAAACAATGGGAAATAATTAAGCATCCAGAATTGTAGTAGATCCGTATGATGGAACATAGTACTATCACAGCAAATGTTTCATAGAATTTTTATTTTGGTCGGTTGTGGGGCTTGAACTCTGGGCGTAGGCGCTGTCCCTGCACTCTTCAGCTCAAGGCGAGCACTCTACTGCTTGAGCCACAGCGCCACTTCCGGTTTTCTGGTGGTTTATTAGAGATAAGAGTCTCATGGACTTTCCTTCCCCGGGCTGGCTTTGAACCAAGATCCTCAGATCTCAGCCTCCTGAGTAGCTAGGATTACAGGCATAAGCCACCGATGCCCGGTTTCATAGAATTTTTAATGGCGTGGAACAATGCTCACTTATGGCATTAGTAAAAATAAAAAAAAGATCTAGGTCTTATACTACATACAGGAAAAAAACAACATGGCCCTGGTGGGTCATACCTGTGATTTTAGCTACTCAGAAAGCTGAGATTTGAGGATCATCATGGCTCAAAGCCAATTTGAGCAGATTCTTATCTCCAATTACCCAGCAAAAACTTGCAGTGGATGTGTGGCTCAAGTGGTAAAGCACCAGCCTTGAGAGAAAAAAACTAAAGGATAATGCCCAGACTCAGAGTTCCAAGCCCTATTACACACACACACACACACACACACACACACACCAAAAATACTCACATATATAGAAAGAGAAAGACTGGATAGAAAAGTAACAAAATGAACTCTGTAGTTTTATGCTTTGGGTGATTTTTTGTTTTATTATTTTTGTTATTTCCAAGTTTTCTGTAATAAACATCTTTACTTTTATAATCACAAATATTAACTTTTTTTTTTTTTTTTTTTTGCCAGTTTTGGGGCTTGAACTCAGGCCTGCGTACTGTCCCTTATTTTGCTCAAGGCTAGCATTCTACTACTTGAGCCCCAGCGCCATTTCCAGCTTTTTCTGTTTACATGGTATTGAGGAATCAAACCCAGGGCTTCATGCATGCTAAGTATGCACTCTGCCACTAAGCCACATTCCCAGCCCAAATATTAACTTTTTTGCACTGGAGATTTTGATTGCATCACAGCATAATAAACACCTTTGATCTGTTTGTTCAGTGTCATTCTTTTTTGGTGAGATGACCTCAATTTTTCTTTGGGGATACATCTGGCCCATCATATCCCATGTGTTATGGATGAAATGGACCTACAGCTCAGCTCCTAAGGGATGGGTCTATGACCCAGAATGGGCCAATCACCATATTCTACTTTCTGGCTCTGGATGAACATGGGACTTAAGCCAGGCTAGTGAGATTCGATTTCAGTACTTCTATAGGAGATGTTTAGAGAAGCAGGGAAGCTCTACTTCCATTGGTACTTAAAGACCTGTAAGGCTAGAGCTGCTTAAATGTATGTCTACACAGAGCATGGATGCATACATGCACATGCATGTATGTATGCATGCATGTACAAGCCCCACTGTTCAAGGCCTGGGATGTAGTAAAGTGTGAAACAAAATCATCCCTAGTTTCTAATTCTGTTAATTAAGTTCTAGACTTCTTCACTTGCTTAAGTCAGTTTGGACTTTGCTTCTACAAGTTGCCATCAAGAGTCCTTACCAAAAGACTTATAGAAACAATAGAATGTATAAAGCACAATTCATGACAGAGTCCAAGGCTCTCACAAAACACAGTATAGAACTCATCCATATAGCTTACCTGAGATATAAACCATTTCCAGCATCACAAATGTTGGCGGTACCATAGCGCTTCAATACAGCACCTTATACATTTTCTTTCAGTACAAAGTGGGCCAGGGGGTATTATTAAATATAGCTAACAACCCTAAAAGTACAGGTCTGCTGTACTCAGCATTCAATCTATAACGAGATGTGAGGTGTCTCAACTCTGGCTGGAGTAGTGGGAGGGTGGGGGAGTTGGGGGAAGTATGCTTAAGAAGTGTTTAAGGATGACTTAAAAAAATCAGTACAGGATTTCAATATTCAATAGCCAATGTGGTTAAGTTGGTGTGAACATGAGCTCTATTAGCCAAGATATGTTTCTTATTTGGAGGTGCATTTTTCCTGGTCAACTATGAATTACACTAGGTAGGGATTTTGTCTTATTCTCTTTAACTTTTATTTATTTTTGTGCTGTTGCTGGGGCTTGAACTCATGGTCTTGTGCTCTCACTTTGCTTTTTCCATTCAAAGCTGGCACTCTATACCAGTGGAGCCACAGCTCCACTTCCTGCTCTTTGCCAGTTAATTGGAGATAAAAGAGACACATGAGCTACCAGGCTTTGTTACCTACAGGCTATTCATGACAAACATGAATAACTGACCATCATTGTATATTTCCTATTTTTTGGGTATATTTTGAGTCTTTTTGTTTTTTAATCCTTAATAGAAGTTTCTTGCCTGGAATTAAACTGAAATATGATCTCTTTCACCCACTCTTCTGAAGAAATTACCCTCTTCAATATCAGTTGAAGAAAAAACCATGTATTTTTCTCGTGGATATAATGTTGATATTTTAACTCATTGTGATTTTTCTATTTTCATTACAAAATGGATTTTATGTTCAGGTTTTTTTTTTTAAAAAACTGTATTTTTTGGGGGTACTGGGGATCCAACCCAGATATTACACTTAATAGGCAAGTGCTTTGCCACTGAGCTACATCCTAGCCCACCAAATGGATTTTAGAAATAAATCAAGAGCCCAGAAATTTACAATTGCTTTGAGTGATATTTTTTCTTTAAAAAATTAACCCCAAATCTCTGTCATTCTAAGGAAAAAAAGTGGTCTAATGACCTTGCATAGCCGTATGACTTGAACCATTTGCTAGGACACTGGGCCATTCACACACCTGAATCTAAGGTCTGTTAATGATAGTCCCTCCTCCCGGCTGGTCACAAGACACTTGACTGCTTGCTAAGAACAAACTTATAGGCAATTATTTGCAATGATCATTTGATCAACCTCTAGTACTGATACGTTTTTGATGATTAAAAATAAATTTTCTTAAACTAGCCTATGCCCAGCCCACCTAAAACAGGATAGGTTTCAATATGAAATGAAGCTAGAGAGGTGAGAAATTAGACATTTTAGGTAGTAGTTTAAACGTCTTAAGTATATTTAAATTGTTCCACGATTCCCCCCCTTCCCCCATGGACAGGTAGCTTTTATTTCCATGCCCCCTCCCCACACCCCAGTAGGACTTAAAAGGAGGATTCAAACTCTGGGTTTTCCTGTTAGCTATGAGAACTTTTAGAACCCAACTTATGCTGCTCTATGAACTCTCAAACCCAATACAGACACGGTAGTAACCTTGCATTCGAAGCTGGCCCCATAACCCGTGAGTGAAGTGCTCCCTGCGTGGAGGAACCTGGCTTGAATCATTTTAATTTTGCTCGTGGCGCAGACTAGGGGGAGCCCCAAAAGGAAAGCAGTTCCTTAACGGTTACTTTAACATAGAGTATCCATACAGAGGAAAAGAAGACAGAGAAAGAAAGGCTCCCAGAAGCAAACAGCACTAAACACCAGGGGCTCCCAGCGCGAACTTCTGGAGGCTCCCTTTCCTCTGCCGCCGCAGACCGCGGAAAAGTCTCGGCAGGAGCTGGTTGGGCGGAGGCCACAGGGACCAATAGCAATCAAGTGTGTACTTACAGGTTGCGGAGCAGGTGGAGAAACTGAGCATAAAGAATAACCCCAACCCGGGCTCAGTCTTTCACCGCAGGTGCCAGACGCGCCACGCTGGCCCACCCGCCGCCCTCCAAACTAACAGGACTGTAGGAGAACATTGGAACCCATTTCTTTCCCCCCCTCAACCGCCACCCTCAGCGATGTCCTCCCTCCTCCCGCCCTCACGAGCCTGCAGGAGGGGGCTGGTGGCCAGTCTTTATTGTCTGGGGCGCACCTGCCAGGTGGCAGGGCCGGTGCCCTAATGGGTTCTCGGCTCGGGCTTGCACAAAGCACCGGGGCAGCGCCGCGCTGGGCTGGGATCGGCTTGGGGAGGACGGACCCGATGACTCGGGAGAAGACGTGCGTATGGGGAGGAGGGGGGTGAAGGGGTTCCAGGGTCTCTCCCCTCTCCCGCAGGAGGCACAGACCCCGGCCCAGTTCCCCCCACGCCCCCCGGATTACCACGTCGACTGAACGAGGGCCAGACGTCGCCTGAGGGAGCGCGACCCCGGCGGGGCGGGAGCGAGGGCGGGCGCGAGGGAGGGGAGGCGCGGAGGGGCGCGGAGGAGGGGCGTGGCCGGCGCGCAGGGGGAGGGCGCAGGAGGAGGGGCCGCTGCGCGCCGCTCCGCGCTCCGCGCTCTGGGGGCTCGGCTTTGCCGCGCTCGGTGCACTTGGGCGAGAGCTGGAACGTGGAGCGGAGCTCGGGTCTCAGCGCAGCCACCGCGATGAGAGGCGCTCGCGGCGCCTGGGATTTGCTCGGCGTGCTGCTCCTTCTGCAAAGCGTCCAGACAGGTAGGTGAGAGGGAAAGCGCAGCCTGGGCCACCCTGACCGCACCCCTCGGTGCTGCCTGCCGGTGCTGCACGGGGGGGTCGGACCCACCGGGGTGCGTCCGGAGAGGTGGCCGCCGGCCTTTTCCATGCCCGTGCGTTCCAGCCTCCGGGAAGGGCCGGGGCGGCCTGGGGGAACTCCGCGCCGCCCCACCTCGCTCACCTGCGCCTGCAGCCTCCCGCCGCGGGTGCTGGGGGACGCCGAGTGGGAGGTTTTCTTTTATTGCTGGGAACGGGGACTTGGGCGTGAGCGAGGCTACGGGCGAGTTGGGGGCTGCTTTTGTGGCGACGGGGCGCGGGGGGCCGTGGCGGGCCAGGACTCGCGGGGTCGCACGGAGCGCGGGTATCTCGCCGTGCGAGGCGCGGCCGCAGCTTCCTTTTGTTAAAAGTTGCGGGTGTGTGCCCCGCCACCCCGAGCGCCCGCCCGCAGCTCCTCCGACGGGCCCCGGGCAAAGTTGGAGAAGCCTTTTCTTGGCTTCCGCGGTCGCAGCGTTCCAGCCCGCGGGCGCTTCTTTGTGCCACGGTGCGGGCGACCGGAGCTGGGGACCGGGGCTGGGAACCGATCTGCTGCCGCCCCTGCCGGACGCGCGGCACCACCCGCGGATCCGAATCCGAGGCGGCCGCCCTTCTCGACGCCCAGTTCGGTTGGGGGCCCCCGGGGAGTCGGGGGGGGGGGCGCGGCGGGCGGACCCTGCGAGCCTGGAGGTGGCGGCTGCTACAAGGACAACTTAACCGGGGCGTGTGGCGAGCAGCAGCTAGGTTGCTTCTTTCCCTGCCGAGGTAGGGTTTCCTCCATGACTGCCACGCGCCGGGGGAGCGGCGCCGGCACCGGGGAGGCCGGGGGACCACGCGCCGGGACGCCGCGGTCCCCGCCCCCTTGCAGCCTCAAGCGCCCAGCCCGAGCGCGGGGCTGATCGGCTCGCGCGTCCCGGCCCGTACCTACGACCTGTAATCGCAGGTGCCAGTTTACTTGGGGGGGGGGGGAATCCTGCGATTCGCGACCCTCCTCCCTCCCACGCGATCGCTTAGGGCTGGGAGATTGGAGTGAACTTCCTGCCGATCTCACTCGGTTCCCCAAGCTGTTGGGAAAACGCAGTGCTCCGCGCGGGAACTTGGGTCTTCAGGTGTCTGGAGGATCTGCAGGCTCTGCCCCCCCCCACACTCTTTTTAATTCCAGGTGTCGCTAGTGTGCGCGCGTGTGCGCATAGCCTGGCCAGGTCCTGAAGCCCTGGTTCTCTCCCAGATCATTTTAAACAAAACATCCTTTTGAGGTTCCCCTCATAGTGTCGAGCTAGAAAAAAAAAAAAAAGTCTGCACTGGCACGGGGCGGTGGAAAGCGGGTGTAGCTATGATTTGTGAGATGACCGTGGGCCAGTTTCTCAGGAAAGCCTCTGGGCCCAGCTCCCTCATCTCCCCCTCCCTGCCTCGGGAAGGGGAGGGCTTTGCTGTGGGGAACTTGCATTTGGACCCCGCTGCCGGAGGAAGGGTCGCCAGGGGTCACCAGTGAGTGTGCGGATTCTTGGGCGGATTTTGCCTTTATAGTTTTTGCCTTGTCCTTTTTGATTTGATTAAAGGTGGGAACTAGACTCCAGTGGAACACCAGAAAGACCACACTGAACAATTCCTTTAAAAAAATTAAAAAAAAAATGAACTGGTGCTTTCCTTCTCCCTCCTGGTTAGCTTGCTCTCCATCCAGTAGCTCATGGCAGTGGGGAATTTTAAGGTCTGTGTCCTGGGCGGCAGGCAATGCTTTAGATCCTGTCTCTTTCTCTGTCCTTCACTAGCTGTGTGCCCTTGAACAGGTCATATTAATGCTGGAGAGAGGAAGCAATTTCCTTAAGGGTTCTGCCAGGCATCTGCCTCCTGAAGGATTTTTTGGGGGTACAGAACATGTCTCCAGGGTTCTGAGTATGGATGCAACAGGCTTAATTCTCCCCGATCCTGTCAAGCCTCCCTGTCTCTCCTGGTCACAGGCACCCCTTGGAATATGGGGGTATGCTCTGCCGCTGACAGGAAGTTGTAGTTTTTGTTGTCCTCTCCTCAAATCATATGCACTCCCTATGCTTCAGGAGGTGCTGAATCTCTTGGAGCCTTGTCTGTCCCCTTCTGCATTTACAGCTCTGGTGCTCAACTAAACAAACCTGCAAGAAACAGTGAATCATACCTGCAGGTGCTGGGCTCAAGTCATCCCCAGCACCTGGTGGGAAGCATTCTGGATTCTTACCCATCTGGAAATAATGTGATCTCTTCTTGTAAAGAGATTCCTAGGTAATTCACAGCTTCCTGTTCTGGTCTTTCCCACCCAAGTGTACCTTTTGTAAATGATTTTATAAACCATATATGCTGTGCTTTTGTACCACATGTTCTAATATGCCTTAGGTTTCATGGACACATGTGTTCACAGTTGTTGATGTCATTGGAAGGGCAAGCCTTTGCTGAGGGCTTTGGCTGTTACTGTTTACACTCTTGAGTCCAGGAGATGAGACCATCACCACCAACCCCTACAATTGTACAACTGGAGAAACTGGATAAGGATAAATCACTCGCCCAAAATAATCAGTGGAGGAGCCTGAGCTCAGCACCATATGCCCAATTGCATATCCATTTACATAGCTCTCCAGAATCTGTTGTAAGGCTCATGCAAAAAAAAAAAAAAAAAAAACCCAGAAAACAAAAAACCCCTAAAACTCAAAAACAACAAAACTATTTAATGAATGCTTGCTTATGAAGCCTGATGTTGTTGGAGATGCCAGGGAGATAGGATGGCCACTTTTGATGAAAAATGCATAGGTTTACCTGTCATTTCAAGGAGACTCAAAGAGGAAAAAGGGACATTTGACCTTTTGGTAGGAGAGCTTTGGATTTTAGGCGGTCCATTCCAGTTAGGGTCTCTCAGAAAGGAAGATAAGCTGTCTCCAAAATAATAATGGCAATCAGTTGAAATCATTCTCCTGCTGCTACAAATAACCATAGCTCTATATACTTGTGCATAGTTGTGAAAGAAAGCCCCCAGGCTGGGGCATGGCTCAAGTGTAGGCCTTGGACTCAATTCCTCCCCTCCCCCCCTTCCCCCCCCATACACAGAGAAAGGGCCCCCAACCATGGTTGATATTGCTGGTTATTTACCCTGGATAAACGAAGTGAGGTACAATGACAATTTGCTGCTCTTAGCCTTTCTTCTCTCAAAAGAAATTCTCATCTAGAGTGTGCCAAGTATTCTGTGGGCTTCCCTTGTAACACATTTCTGTACAGATGTTGTTGTGGTGATGAATTTAGCTGCTGTTGTTGACAGCCATTAGAAGTTACCCGTAGGATCTTGACTCATTTCCTCAAGTCTCCTCCAGTGGATTAAAAAAAGGACACGAGGAAATGAGCCAAATGAGCCGAGGTGTCCTGAGCGGAATTCTCAGAGCTGGACAGCCGTGCTGGACCTCTTAGAAGTGGCGGGCTGCGCTGTGGTGGCAGCATTTTCTCCAGAATGAATTTAGTTGAGTTGGCAGGCTAGAATGTGGGAAGTGCTTTATTTTGCTGCATTCATGTGTGGTAACTTTTCCAAAGTGGGATTAAAAGACATTTGCAAGAATCCAAATATGCAAAATTTCATATGCATTCTCAGTAACTTGAAGAGAGATATTCACAGCTGCAAATCTAGAGTGAGGAAAGCTTGGAACGGAGTGAGTGGAGGGGAAAGTTTGAATGGGGGGCAAATCCAGTGTGTGAGTCTTTGTTGACAGTGGAGAAGCCTAGCCCAGTGGCTCTGATTTTTTATGTTTGTAGAAACAATCAGTTGAGATACTGTTAGACGGTAACCTGTGGGCATGCTTGTTGAGCTCACAGGATGCTTTTTAGAAAACATCTGGGCAGTATTGAACTTTTTATTTAATTTTTGTCAGTTGTAGGGCTTGAACTCTGGGCTTGGGTGCTGTCCCTCAGCTCAAGGCGAGCACTCTACCCTTTGAGCCACAGTACCACTTCCGGTTTTCTGGAGATGTGTCTCATGGGCTTACCTGCCAGGGCTAGCTTTGAACCGTGATCCTCAGATCTTAGCCTCCTGAGTAGCTAGGATTACCTGGCTAAAATTATTTTTTAATCAAGATCCATATCTTCCTCCTCTTAAAAAAAAGAGATCTAAGCATGGTGGCAAATACCTGTAATTCCAGCACCAAACTAAATGAAAACAAAAAGAAAAAAAAAAAAAGACTGGTTCCTTAAGACAAAACCAAGCTCTTAGTGGGCCCATTGTCAGTTTGTATTGGGCTTTGGTGAAAGTTGGTAGGACCAGGCAGGTGTCTGTGGTAGAAGGAATATCTGGCAGGCTGCCTTGTTCAATCTGATGGCTCATAGCTGGCAGCTGTGTGACCTTGGAACAAGTTACTTAACCTTTCTGCCATTCAGTATTTCATCCTAGTTTTGCCATCCTAAATTTGCTGTGTGACTTTGGATAACTTATTTAACCCCCTTGTGCCTGTAATTGTGTTGCTACACATCATATTTTTAACTGGGTACTGTGTAGTAGCATAATAGTCATATGTTCACATTCATGGGGGTGATACCACTCTTCATGTGGTTGTTGTAAAGAGGTTTTTTTTCCCTTAATGTTTGACATATTTTTATTGTTAAACATTAAAATATAATTGTACCTATGAATGTATGCAACTATAATGTGTTAATTTACAATTTTATTTTTAATTTTTATTGTAAAGGTGATATACAGAGGCTGAAAAAGATTCTTGTAAAAGGTACCTGGCATTGGGTGTGGGTCTGGAGGGGTGCTGACAAAAATGAGCAAGTTCCTCCAGCAGGTGCAATTTCTTATTTTTCTTTGTAATTCTTGCCCAAGGTACCAGTAAGTACTAACTTGACAGTGTTGGGAAGAAATATACTTTTAGTTTTTGTCTTAGAATTTTCCATAATTTTTATGTAACAGCTGAGTTTTTTTATAGCTTGTGATATAGCAGTTGGGA